TTTTTTTTTTATAGTTAAAAGGAAGTTTATTCTTGTAATTTTGGGTTAATAATTATTTTAAATGCGGTTTTAAAAAGATTAATATTTATAAGCACAGATCTTTAAAGTTTTAATGCCAAAAATAAATTTGTTGAAATTTTAGAACTTTTATCACATTTAAAACAAAACTGAACTTATCATGAAGTTTTGCTTGCACGTGCGTGGCTTTTTGTTAAAAAATATTAAATTATTTAAAATTTCAAAAAGAAGGGAGAGAATATGAGGGTTGGATATGCGTGTTGTGTTTTGAACTCAAAAATTGCTCGGCGCTCAGCTTATCATGTTTGCAGAAAGAAAAGGAAGTTATCATTACACATAGTTTGTCAATTAGTTTGAGAGAAATGAATTTAGAGAGACTTTTTATGCGGGCTCAGCTACGCACACCACAATCATAAACATGTAGCAAATAGAATTATTGTTATAAAAGAATTTAGTTTTATATTTTTTCCTACATAAATTCCTTTTTAATATTATATTATTCTTAAAATTTTTATGGTATTATTTTTACTTCTTTATAAACAAACACAAACAATAAAGACGTCTTTTCATTTCTTTCTTCAATTCTATTATAAAATATAATTACAAAATGCGCCACAATTTCGTTTAGAAGTTTAATCAAAATGTAAAATTAATTCTGAATTTTCCATAAATTAATGAAAATTAACACGCTTGAACTTAAGATCGCGCGGGCGGAGTGGAATGAAAAAATTTGCGGCGCAGCAATTAATTTGATTTACGAGGGAGTGCGCTTGGAGTTTAATAATAAAAGTGAATTGCCTAATAAATTATTTATTATTACGTGTTGTTTCTTGAGCGCGCGTTGTTTATGAGGGCAATATTAAAAAGCATAGTGGAGCACTTGATCAAGCCAGAAACAAATTCGCTCTCTCGGGTGGGTATGTCGGGGAGCAGCAAAACGCAACAAGAGAGATAGTTTGGGAGCATCGCGCTAAATGAGTTATATCGGAAGCCTCAGCAGGGTGCGCCAAGATAAAGGGCGCCCCCTGCCTGCTCGCTCTGCGCCTCCAAAATATTGTGACAAGCCCCAAATAAAATTCAACACAAACTCTTTCTCAACAACCAATTCCAAACTTGAGAAATATTTGTTTTCCTGCATGTTTACAACTTTTGTTGAATACTCTGTCCATTAACAAAAATTTCAAAATATGTTGTAGTTTTTTGGTAAGTTTAAATAAAGAGCGAGTTATACTTAATATGAAAATTTAACTCTCAAAATGAAATAAATCTTAGACACTTTATAAGACTTTTAAGTTTGGATTGAAATAACCTTTTCATTTTATAAATTATATCAATTTCTGAGAAATTAAAAAAGCACCGAGCAATGGAATAAATATTTTGAAGAAAAATTATAATATATTATGAATGTTCTCTTGATGTGTTTTAATAGAAAAAAAATCAGTACAATTTCTTATGCGCTGCTTAAAGATGTGTAGAAAATTCAACAGGTTCAAAGCTTATATTATTTTTTTTATGTTATATAATATTTAGATTTGAAATTATTAAATTAACGCAGAGAAATAACAGAGAAATATAAATCAATACAAATTATATTCAAAATAATAAAATAAGCATTAACAAGAAACACTAAATTGTGTAAAGGTCTTTTGAAATGAAAAGTTTACATTGATGTGAGATGCAATAGTTCCTCTGAATTTTATGCCGCACAATATTCTGATTTTTAAATTTTTTCTCAGAGTATGCATGCCATTAAAGGCTATAAACGATCTATCTTTTCAAACAGCACAAAATTTCTTTTAGATTTTTGGAGACCAGAAGATTAAATTGCTTAAAATTTCTGCAACTTTTTCATTCACCTTTTTGGCAGAATATCGTACGCATTACCTTTTACATGTTTTTCTAGCAAACTTATTTTAATTCATTAAAAAGTGTGACTAAGAATATAACAAAACCAAATTGACTTAAAACTCGAAATGAAAAGCTTTCCATTTTTTTTTTTTTTTAAATCAGTGCCAACAAAAAAATTAAATTAAAGTCATCGCCGCTAAATTTTTTGCTCACTCGAGGAATATAAAAAATTCAAAGGTACCAAAATGCTCTGGGACATTTTTCAAAACTAAAAAATTTTGCTCGTGAGAATTTATTTATAGGATTAAAAATGAAAAAAAATTTAAGATAATTGCTTCAATTTATTTATTACAATATAAGAAATATTTACTGCAAAGAACAATGTACTACCCTCGGTTGATTCATTGTCTCAGACCGGAAACGTGCCAGTCTCTTTTTCATGAAAAATTGCAGCGGAATGAACAAATGGCGTACCTTTTTCGGCTACTGACAAAGTGCGAAAATTTTTCACTCCATCTGACAAATTATTAATGAAAGTGGAATTTACGCTCGGAGGAAAACGAATTTCATCTCGCGCTTTATTTCTTTTCGGGAGCTGAGCAATGAATTGCGCGGGCGAGAGATAAATTTGAGTTGTTTTGTTTCGGGGGTGCAGAAATTGCATTTTGGTGTGTGTTGATTTATTAGCGTGTGGGGGCGCGCCAAGGGATGATGATGATGATGATGAGATGATGTAATTATTTCTCTCTCTTCTCGTCGGCGCAGCTGCAGCCCAAAGCGCCCCCCGCCGGGGTCACTCTGAGTGGCAGGCACCCCGCCAACGCGCACGACCGGGGGCTCCTTAAAACTAGCAGCTGCCCTCGGCCACAATCCGCATCACCACGCGCCAATCCACTCAAAGGGTTAATCAGCCCTTAAGCCGCGTTTCACCCCAAATTGGTGCGAATTGCTGCGCAGACATGCACCAAAATTAAATTAACTTAATGCGGACGCAAACAATGCAATTTTACTGCGTCTCAACCATGAACCCAATAAAATTAAATAACTGCAAACATAGAGTAGTCTGTCCTTGAATTTATCTTCTTCATAAGAAAATTTTACTGTAAAAACTATATGGGTAAAATTTTAAAAATTTATTTTATCTAAAAATAATTATATAACATTAAATTTTTTTTATATAAAAAGTGAAGTTAAATCTATAATATGATGTAGATATTAAAGATTTCACATGCAAGCAGCTTTAATTAACACGCTTAATTCAAGCAATAACTTTAAAATCATATTTTACTGCATTTTTGTTTCAGTTAAATAAACTTTAAACTAAAATTTTCAAGTCGAACTACACAGTGCAGCTGATAAATAAATTAGAAACTCTTCATGAATTATTTAGCTACAATAATTATGATATGGTGCCAGTATAATATCTGAAGTTTAACTCTAAACTCGTATAAGCAAACCACTATAATATCATTCTCAATTTTAACTCTGACATTAGAAAAAAAGTTGTGGTATTGATAATTTTCAATTATTTAGTTGCAAATTGTTTATGTTTAAGTTATTTCCTTTTCCATCATCGGACATTATTGTTCATATTTTTTTGCACTTGTTTAGGAGTGGCGAAAATTCATGAATGAAAGCAGAAAGTTTGTGGAAGCAAATTGGGGGATTAGGAAGGTCCCGTGGTGCGCGTGTAATAGTTTTGGTTTGGCGCATCTCTTTTATTTTCCATTGAAGGAAGGAAGAGCCCCTGCGAGTGGCCGCCGCCGGGTGGGCGAGCCAGGGTGCTCCGAGCGGCGCAGGGAGCCGACACCTTGCTGGGGTCACTCACCACACCGTAATCTAATCTTGCTCTCTTCCGTTATTATTTTTCACCGCACGCAGGCACACACTATTGTATCCGTTTAAAAGGCTCTAATCGCGCACCAGCACCACAAATTATTGTTAGTCTCTTTTAAAAAAGCGCAGTTCAAAGTCAAAATGCAGCATCGTTTTGTTAAATAGTTAAAAATCTGATTTTATATTGATGAATTTTTTGGAAGTTTTAATTTAATTTTTATTTTAATTATAGAAAATTTCCACATATTATCGAATAAATAATTCTCAACTCCAAATTTAAAATATAAATTGAATATAGATGATTTAAACCAATTTCAGTCTCTTTTTCCATACAAAATTGAACTTTTAAAAACTTCTCAAGATAATTGTTAGTGTGCGTGTGTAATTAATTATTATATTTTTAAATTCTGTTATTATTTAAATATATATTAAATTAATTTTTTTTAATTATATTCAATATTTGATTTAAAGTGAACGTATGATTGCGGAAATAAGAATGATTAAAATAAAGTAAAATTAATTAATAGAGGATTTTTATTTTATTTATTTTTTATTAAAAGATACTGAAATTTGAAATATTATAAGAATATAATTAAATGCACGATGGCAATAAAATAAAATATTGTTGCATATTTATAGAAATAAAAAGAAAGAAAGTATTAAATATGTATTGTTTTATGTTATTACTGTTACTTTTGTTCACATGGCTTACAATTCAATTGCTCAATAAAATTGATTTAAAAAAGTAATTTTAGAACTAAACGGTGCCACCACTAGCAAGAATTTTGCTAAAACTTCCGTGATCCAAAAAGACCCCATCCGTCGCAATGAGCCTGTTGTTTTTTTTTTGTTCCAACCTACAAAAGGAAAAGCTTTTTGCTGGTTTTCCTAGAAATCAGAATTATTAAAAGATGAGCTTTTTTAACTCTTAATTATTTTTAAGTTGAAACCTAATGGAAAAGCTAGCTAATTGATTAGATAAAAAAAATAGGATGATTTAAAATTTATCGAAATGCGCTTTAATTTAAAAATTAAATGCATGAATTAATATTTGAAATCAAAAAATAAAATTATTTTGGAAAATTAGTAAAAAGAACAAATCACTGATAAAACTTTTGAATGAAGTATCAAGTGGGGCGGAGCGGGCGGTCGGTGGAGCGGCGTTTATTGGGTGCGGAGGGCCCCCTGGGGCGGCCCCGGGTGCGCGGCGGCGCAGCCAATGGGCGGGGGGCGGCGTCGCGGGGCCTCGCTCGAGTGGAGTAGAGTGGGTAGCGTGCGAGGATCAGTTGCGTCGAGCACGCGGCCCCGCGAAGTGCTCAGCACGGCAGATGCTCAACTCGTTCATGGACCCCGGGGCGCTGGGGCTCAAGCTGAGCCCCGGCAGCCACCACCACCACCTGCAGCCGCCGCCGGAGGCGGGCGACGTGTACGGGGGCGGCGGGGGGCAGCAGTTCGTGGGGCCTTCGCCGGCCCTGGCCGCTGTGGCCAACGGCTACCACCCTTACCACCTCCTGCGAAGGGAGCACCAGATGCACCAGCCGCCCCCGCCGCCTCCGCACCACCCCCACCCGCAAATGATGCAGGAGTACCGCAACGAGCATCAGTACGGGGTGCACCAGTACCAACAGTATCCGCACCACCAGATGGCGGCGCCGCCCCCGTCCTCGGGGGCCTTCTTCAGGTACATGCGGCAGCCGCCCCCGGGGAGCCTGGGGGCGGCCAAGCAGCAGTTGTCCTGCATGTGGGTCGAGCCGGACGCGCTGCCCCGCAAGCTGTGCGGGAAGATGTTCGGCGCCATGCACGAGATCGTGTCGCACATCACGGTGGAGCACGTCGGCGGCCCCGAGTGCACCACCCACGCCTGCTTCTGGCAGGGCTGCCCCCGCAACGGACGACCCTTCAAGGCCAAGTACAAACTCGTCAACCACATCCGCGTGCACACCGGCGAGAAACCCTTCCCCTGCCCCTTCCCCGGCTGCGGAAAAGTGTTCGCTCGCAGTGAGAACCTCAAGATCCACAAACGCACCCACACCGGTGAGCAAAATTTTCTTGCCCTTACTTTCTTTGCAAAAATTCAACCCCCTAAATTGGTCTTCGGCTAGGAGTTCAAAATGGAAAAGAAAGGGGCAGTTGCAGATCATAAAAATTCCGATAAAATTGAAAGATTTTGGGTGCATTTCTAATTGTAAGTTATTCCGGTGATAAATTTGAATATTCTTTTAAGCAGATTTGAAGACGAAATTATAAAATTTTCCCTAAAAGCCGTAAAATAATATAAAGTTTTAATCAAAATTCTCAAATGGAAATAACCTCAAGTGAGAGAAATAAATTGCCATTAAAATATCAGTTAAACAAAACAACATGATGTAGAGAAAATTTTATACATATTGAGCTGATTGTACTTTTTATTTACTTAGATTCGAGGTGGCTTATTGACAAAGTTAAAAATTAAAATTTGGCTGTCTCAATGTAATTATCAAATCCGTGATTATTCTTTTTTCATGCAAGCTTTTATTTTTTCTTTAAAATTCTCAGTTTTGATTTCATCTCCATATTACTAAACAATCCAATGATTTGCTTCAAAAAGTCAGAACGTGTAGACAGGGCAATTTGAACCAGACAGATTTGAAATGAAAAACCGCAAGTCCGTCTAGACGATTTCAATAATTGCTGGTGCGAGAATGATCTCCTTACTCCGTTTCTCATAATTATGATTCATCCTGCGCATCTGCCTTATTATAGAGAGGAGATGGATTTGTGCTGCACAAATTAGACTAGGATGTGAGAAAAGGGCCATTATATTTCAGGGAATGAATCATCACCAGTCTTGTCTTGTGCAAATTGCAATTCATCAAAAAACTAATTTAAAAATTCAGTGGCGCATTTTGAGATTTATTACAATATCAAAAGTCACTTCTGAAGAGCATAAACAATTTATTGTCGGCGCAGGAATAATTGCGCATTACTTAAATAATCTGTAATTAATTAATTTTGCAAAATATTATATTGAACTTTACTAGGGGTTTTTAATAAAATTCGCTCGTCTTTTTTATTCAAAATACTAATATCAATCGATTTGTATACAAACTAAAAAATTATTTAAATACATAAATCAGTTCTCTATTTATTATTTCTTGATAATTTATCAAATAAATCCTTCTACGACTGAATACTAAAAATGTGCTGCGATTGAATTTGATTGTTTTTCGGCTTTTAAACCACCTCTCAGTGCTAAATCTTTTCCATAATAAATCATCTTTTTTTTTGGTAAACAAACATCAGCTGCTACATTGCAATGCATATCTCAGCGCGAATCAATTTGTTTTTTCCGTGACTCTCTGTAGTTTTATTTCGGGTGGCGCGTGTTTTCCTAAATCGGAGGAGACTCGAGAGATGCGAGCGGCCGATAAGACCCGTATATCAATTTCATTGCTTTGCGAGCAAAAGCAAAACGATGGGCCCCCGTGTTATCGCGCGCGCCGCATCGCATTTCTCGCATTCCTGCCTCGGCCCCCTGCCAACTCGCCCAAAAATGAATGGACCGAAAAAAAAATAGCAATCGGTTTTCTAATCATCCTACAATTTTGTATGTAAATTTGAATTTCTTTGTTTAATGAATTTCGCGAGTTGAAAACCAACACTTTTGAAGAGGAATTGAGAGTCAAGTATTTATTATTTTGAAGCCGAGGGATGGTGTTGTGCTGCTTGGGGATGGAGCTTTGATGTTGTTCACACGCGGGTCGCGGCGCTCACAGGCTTTATTGTACGCGAGCGAGTTTATGAAACGCGCGGAAATTTTCCGCTCCTTTGTAATGAATGGAATTATGAACAAAGGCTGCATCTCGCTTTTGTGCGCCCCGTATATGTGCCCAGACTCACCTGGTAAATAACACGTCACACACGCACCGAAAAACACAAATCCACAACCGCACCGGCTCCCGATAATATATAAAAATTCACAAGACCACTCTATCAAACCGCAAAACACGCTCTTCAAAATTAAAACTGTTTTTTAATTGTAAGTTTTAATGTTAATGTAGACATTTTAATCGAGAATTACGATAATTTTTATAAAGCAATTTAATCGCTATAAGATTAAATAAATTTACCTTAGCTCACTTTACAAAATTAATTTCCACAGGTTTATTTTTTTATAATTTTATTTTCAAAATATTGTCACAAAAATAAGTAGAAAAATTTGTTTCTTTCTGTTGCCAATTTGTATTTGTGAAAAATTACCGTTAGCATTTTCTTTTAGCCGCAGATTTTCGAGTGGCCAATTAAATTGGAATTTTCATTAATGATGGCTGCGCGGCGTGTGAAGTGTCTTTCGACGGGTCGGACAGATGCGGTTGATGGGGTGGCGACCATTTTTTGTGCTGCTATTACCATAATTCGCGTGCGCCTCGGTGCACTTTCGAGATCGAGAGAGCTTTTTCAAAACAGTTGCTTCTTTTTGGCGGCGAGGCTCATTAGGGGCCTCGTTCGTTCGCAGCTGCACGAGAGGCGGCCATAGGTGCCCGCTTGAGCGTGACGCGCGCGCGATTACCATTAGACCAACAACTCTAATCCTCCGGCCGGCGCACAATCAACCAGATTAGCCCTTGCGATTCCGCACACAATCACGGCTCTTGGCCGAACGGAAAATTCTCTGCACTGAAAAAAGACGCAAATGTTTCAAACTCAAGAGTTTCAAACTGCATAAGTTGACCAATTAAAAAAAAAAGAAGTTTGCTCAAATGTTATCTTTTGCCTATTTGAATGTTAATTGCTAGTTTAAAAATTAATTGTATCTCATTTTAAACAAATCTTGAATGCTAGGGAGTTGATTAAAATTTTTAATAGTAATTTTAATTGGAATAAACTCAGAAATTGAAAACAACACAATAATTTGTCCCTAAAATATAAAGCATCGATTAAAGATAAATTTCGAGGGGAAATTAAAAGTTAATGATTGAGAGCTTTAAAGGTTGAAGGACGTTTTATTCAATTTGAATTCAATAGAATCTTTGACGTCGTTTTAATGTAAATAAACCCTAAAATTTCCATATTTTTTTTAAGGAGGGTCTATTGCTAAATAATAGCCCGATCAATTTTGCTCAGAATTTGACAGTCTGCATAAAAAATGCGGGGAAATTATGTCGAAGCGAGGTGACGGGCATGTTTGACCTTTTTGGCCCATTTAAACCATGTAAAAGACCAAATTTCACTCCAGAGTACAACAATCGGCAACAATCAAACAATGTTCTGATTTGACTATATCATAAGCTTCCCCTTAATAAGAAATAATGCAGTTGATTGGTATCTTGGTTAAGGGAAAATTTCAGGGTACCTCAATTTAGTCCTTCCAAGGGTGAAAAACGTGTTTTTAGAGCTAAAATGGATTTGAGTGAAAATCAAATGATATTTTCCTATTCTTTATTTCTTTCAAAACTTAATGTCACGCTTGTCAGAAAATCCACCTGAAATTGGGAGAAGAAGAAGAAGAAGTGTCTTCTTATTTCTTCCCTTTCCAAATGAGTAACTTTCTGACAAAGCTGCAGCACAAGAGAGAAAGAAATGTGTTTTGAGCTTTTCACGCTGCTCTCAAGGCGAAATCCACCTTTTCAGAATATATTTTTTTCTCTCCTCTCTCTGGTTTGAAAAAGCAAAACAAATCACTTGTTGGCACTCAGTTCTTGACAGTCCGGTTGTTTTTCCATTCGGCTGATTTCGAACAAATCCCTCTTACAAATTCCGAGCTGCTGCTGGAAAATGGAAAATCCTTTCCGAGAGCCACAGGTCTCGCGTGTGAAGCAAATTAAAAAGATTTTTTCCATGCACTTGCGTAGCCGCGGGCTGAAACTCGACACCGACCCACAGCGCGGGAGGAGCAGGATAATATCAAATGCCCATTCAGCCCTTTTACACACACAGAGAAAGAAAGAAGAAAAAAATCGAGGCTGGGGAATGAGAAATTCTTGTGCTGCTTTGTGTTGTGGAAAAACTGGGGAGGTGAAAATCAATCTGCTTATTTATGCTCTTTCTCTCTGCGGGAGATTTTCTGCTAGCGTTCGCTTCTGTATCAAAACTTTTAACATGTACAATCCTTTCTTGTGATTTGTTTCATGTCTTGAGGTTTATTTTAACCTAATTGATTGATAGTTAATTTAAAATTTAGAATTAATACATCCAAAACTTACTGGATAGGACAAATTCCCCTTTAAAAAATACCAAATGGTTCATGATAATTTGAAGATTCTTAAAGTATTTGATTTCAATTAAATCTTATTTGTGCACTTTTTTCAGTGCGTGCTCATAAAAGGTAAATTCAACCGATTTTTTTTTAGCCTTGAGGCCTTTTACTTTTAAAATATTTTATTAACTTCCCTTTATAATGGTACCAATCATCTGCCAAGACAATAACAATTAAAATGTATCATTTTCTAAAATTCCGGCTATAAAGTGAATATTAATTTGGTTAATATTGTATTATAATACATAGATTTATAATAAAAAGATTTGAAACTTTCAAGCTTGCACATAAATTCCGGTGCAAATATGTAATAAAGTTAAAGTGATTTATATGTAGATTTCCGTTTTGATTAAATGAAAACTTTTTATTTTAAAAATTAAAATTAAAAAATTAAAATGTGTCACCTGAACACATTATATGATTGACATAGTGGAGTGTGTTTCCTTTTAATCGCGAGGGTGCACATGCCGCAGCTGACTGAGAGTTGCGGGGGTGTTGCGCTTGCGTCGGTTCCGAGGACAAATTCGTTCAGTTTTGTATATTTTGGCTGGGCGCGCGGCGATAACTGGCTGGCGAGAGACGCGCGCCGAGAAATATTTATTCTGGGCTTTGCGATTGACAATGCGGCCAAAGGTGCACGCGCCCGAATGATAACAAACTTTGTTATGGCTGCGCACCAAACACAACAAACACCTCTGTCATAATAAATCGCAAGAGCAAAGATCTCCTCTTGTCACCCCTTCCGGCTTCCGCTCTCTCACTCTCGGGGGTGCACCAAAACGCGCCCCTTGATTCGCGC